TTATTATATCTCATTATTTCTAAATTATTAAGAAATCATTGATATCTGAACTGAAATCGGTTTGACCTTCAGCACCTGAATCTTAGTTGAGCTGAACTGAAATGGAACAAACTCCACCCGGCTGGTTGGTCAGGAGCCCTAAAGCGAGCGCTCCCAGTGCTGCAGATAACAACATGTTCTGGTTAAAGACTGACTTCACTCCACTGACTGAAGCACAGTTTGTTTTCTCACCACCAACCAAAAAACCCATTTTTACTCATGAACACAGAACTTGTGCTCATCGAGTGCGATCAGCTGATCTTCTGTTCACCTCCGACATCGAAGCACAAAGTGTAAATGATGAACCAGCAGCAGGTTTAAAGGTTCTGTTTCATTTAATCTCAGTCCTCAGTATCTCTTCATATTGGTTCATATTTTTATATTTTGATGTTTTTCACCTTCATAAATCAGACAATAACTTGTTGTTATTTGTTTCTCAGTGTTTCAGCACCAAAAACACAGAAAACAAGAAAACTGAGAGGTTCAGTTTCAATTAACTTCAAGAAACGTGATCATTTTTCTATTTTTTCTCTCTGAAAGAAAAAAACAATTAAAACTAAACTCTGGTTTTATTAATTAAAAGGTGTAAAATGCTGCACTTTTATTTTAAAGGTTAAACAAAGAGAAGTAAACAGGAAGTCACATGTTTATGGTCAAAACTGTTCCTCCTGTCAAACTCCATGATTCAGTTTCACTGCAGCATACGACTATAAAACGTTTTTCTAACGTTGACTAAAAACTAAAAGAAAACCTGTCCGTGTCCCCACAAGCACTGAGCTCATGTTCCTTCTGTTTGATACGACTTCAAGTATGAAAGTGAACAAATGGAGCAGCTTTGATGTTCAGCTCTGATGAATCCTTATTCCAGCTTCTTCACCGAGCAGCGGAACTGTGGCTGCTCGCGTCAACGTTGTCGGGATGTTTGTGCTCCAACGTTGTCGGGATGTCTTGCACATGCTCAGTGTGTCCCTGAGGTCTGTTCAGCTTCGGTTCGTTTCTCAGCCCACGTTTTGTTCTGGTTTTTAAATCAAACTATTTATGGCGTCTTTTCTTTTATTGTCACTTAAACTGTGAATTTTGTATAAAAAACTAAAAAAAACAGCATCAACAAAAACATGATGTAAAATGTTCACTCGGTTCATTCTTTGATAGAAATAAAGTCGACTTTTTCAGACGTCGCTGTTTGTGGTGAAATCTTTGATGAAAGTCTGAATCAGCTGATCACTGAACTTCTCCAGGTTTCAAGGTTTCACAAGAACATCAGCTGAAGACCACAGAGTCCTGGAAAGGTTCCCTTAGTTCAGGAGAAGCTTTCAGGCGACTCCGACAGTTCACATCTCAAGGTTCAGAGTCGATCTGTTTATTACGGAGCTGCTGTTTGAATGAGTCCTGGTTTGGACGTTTCCCTACAAGAAGCTGAGTGTTGCTGGTTCTGACCCAGTTGGACCAATGTTCTGCTGGACTCATACATGTAGAAACCTCAGCACACCACCGTTATGCAGTGAGACACAGCCCTGGTGGGTGGTTCTTCAGAACACCTCCGACCTGCAGCTGTCCATATACGAGCTGCAGCAGAACCATCAGAACACTGAGTCCAGTCGCTTCAGAACCATCAGAACACTGAGTCCAGCTGCTTCAGAACCATCAGAACACTGAGTCCAGCCACTTACAACAAGAACCATTGCTGTTGGTGTTCGGGTCGACTTTGACATTCAGGGTTCTGTTGTTTGTGTCGCTTGCTCTTCACAGCCCCTGAGGGCGACCGACCCGATGTTCTCAGATGCTCTCAGATCTCCTCAGCTGTTGAGTCAGTTGAGCTCTGGAACACCTCACCTGCTCAGGGAGGAACTATTAAATCCCTGCTGAGGTCCAGACAGAGTCCAGGTTCTATCTGTTATTTGCTTGTTTCTGCTGTGCTCAGATGCAGATTTGTCTTTGAGTCTGTGTTCATGTCTTCTGGTTTGTTCATGTGATTGTTCAGCTCTGGGCTTCATGAACACGTTTAACTTGACTTGAACCTTTAAGTTGCAAACGTTATTATTATTTTAATAATGTTGCATCATCTTAATCCCGTTATATTAAAACGTGCATGGATGATGTGAGAGTGGAGAAGAGGCTCAGCCAGGATCCTAATGAAGAAGAGTGGATGAACAGTGAGGGATCTGGACTCTGGGAACATGGAACCGTGCAGCGCAGCCAGATCCAGCCTGAAAAGAGGCATCAAGCGGGCTAAGGCAGCACACGGCAAGCAGACCGAGGGCCGCTGGACGGAGGGGAACCCGTGACCTCACCAACATGAACGCTTCCACTGCTGCCACCAGCAGCAGCAGCACAAGCCGAGCAGAGGAGCTCCATCAGTTCTTTGCTGGGTTTGAAGTAATCCAGGAAGAGGACGCCCCCACGCTGCCACCTAATGATCACATATGATACTGTATTTTCTATATATTTTATTACTTATAATAATTCTTTATTTATATTATTTATATTTCTCATATATCCACAGTGTTCCTACCATTTATTCTACCGTCTGGCTGGGTTTGAAGTAATCCAGGAAGAGGACGCCCCCACGCTGCCACCTAATGATCACATATGATACTGTATTTTGTATATATTTTATTACTTATAATAATTTTTTATTTATATTTCTCATATATCCTCAGTGTTCCTACCCCAACAGTGCAATATATTTATTCTACCGTTTGGCTACCTGTACATACTTCCTACTGGATCCTTTTGTAAATACATGTATATATTCTTATTTGTCTTTTTATACTTTTACTTTTATACTTCTGCACCACTGGAGTTGTCTTTTAATTTCGTTGTACCTTGTGTACCTTTTTTAGAAGAGCACAATATTCTCGAGGTTTTCCAATCCGGTTTTAAACCCCTGCACAGCACCGAATCAGCGCTTTTAAGAGTTTTTAATGATNATCCACAGTGTTCCTACCATTTATTCTACCGTCTGGCTGACTGGACGTACGTCCGACTGGCTCCTTTTGTAAATACATGTAGATATTCATATTTGTCTTTTTATACTTTTGGAGATGTCTTGTAGTTTCGCTGTACCTTGTGTATGATGACAATAAAAGCATTCTATTCTATTCTATTGATCATTTCAACTCAAATTTCTATATGAGTTCACTTAAAACGAAGATGAAGTCAGGTGCTGTGTTCGGCTTGTTGGTCTTTAGGGTTAACCCTAACCCTGGACAGAAGGTTCAGGTGTCGGAGGATCTGAAGTGTGAACAAACGTGACACAAAAGACATCTGCACGTCTTTTACCAGTAAAACACTAAAACAGAGAAGAAGAAAATCTGTAAGTTAACAATAAAACCCCCAGACAGCTACAAACAGGATGAGATCGGCCAGTTTTTATACAGAAAAACAAAGTTTTACAGAATTTAAATCAGTTAAACATATTTTTAAAAACAGATATTTGCGGCTCGGTGTCATCGTTTTTATCGTTTGAAGGATTTTTCTGTCCCTTTGCTGCCAGGTGTAATCGTTTTTCACAGATTTTTTACAGTGTACATCAATGCAGTGTGAACAGTGAGATGGGACCGGTTCTGATGTTCTGATTGTCCTTTGACTCCTTTGGTTGTCTCTGATGAAGAGTTTTCAGAAGCAGAGTCTCTGCGTGATTTACTGAAGGTTAATGGTTGAATTATCACCTGCAGCTCCAATAAACTCAGGATTCTTCTGCTGTTGGTTGGTTGGCAGGCTGATGAGGGTACTGCGGGTCGGGTCCGGGTCGGGTCCAGGTCAGGCTGCCCTCGTCCGTCCGGGCTGCAGCGCAGGCTTTGTTTGCACTAATGAAGGCGTTTTAATGAGGTCCGACGCTTTAATGAGGATCATGGTGTTATGATCTGATGAGAAGGTCGACGCACATCTGAACCTGCAGAGCTGCTGGACAGAACCCTCAGAACCACGACTCAACCTGGGTCATAAAGGTAATTTCAGGAGAGCAGAAGCTGCGTGTTAATATCCAGGTTTTTAAAGGTTCTCATTTGAGTGACCAGTGAGGTCACCTGCCATCAAG